CTGACGCCGGAGTAGGCCCGCCCGAGAGGCGGGAGCGCGGCTCCACAGCGCACGCGAGGCCTCTCCGGCCTTGCCGGCCACGGGCCGCGGAAGAACGAGGGCGGGGGCACGGAGGAATACGGTATGTATGCGCATCTCCAGGGGGGTGAGGCGTCCCTCAGCCGCCCCAACCCGGCCGCCCCGCCGCCTCTGGTACCGAATCTGAACCATGGTCCTGCAGAAACTTGATAATGTCCTTCTTGGGCAGCTGCTCGCTGCGCAGCTGCTCCACGGTCCACGCCCGCTGCGGAATGGCTGCCGCCATCTTCCCCCGCTGCCTCCGCTTTACTGAGCCAGCCCGCCTCGGTTCGGCATCGCCCCGCCCCTGGGGCGTGGCGTGGACGCTCACCAGGGTCGAGGGGCGGGGTCACTACTCCCGCGAGCAGGATTGGGGCCTGTCCTTGAGTGACGTAAACCTGTGCTATGAGGGCTTCTTTGTTGAGTCCGGGTGAAGAACCTATGGAGGTGGCCTCGGCAGCCAACAGCGCGGAAGACTGCTAGCGGTCAGCTACTCTTAACTGGACTCCCTGTAAGGCGACCTCTGGTGGTAGTGATATTTACCAGCCATTACCACACTTGTTTATTACCTACCGGCTGCTATGCCTTTAAATGGCCTGTCGATAACCGGTTTAAAGAAAACAGCAGCATTCAGACTCCTAATCTCTCATTTTATCTAGTTCTAGCCTAAAAATTCGCACCTGAATTGGCTCAGTCCTTGTCCATCAGAGCAACCCATATTCTACTATCTCCCATTTAAAGAGCACACAAATAAATGCAAACGGCTCCTCTCTCTCCCCCCATGAAATCACGAGAAACAGTTTTTCTAAAAGCCAGTTCAGGGACACGAACAAATGAAGCAATGTAATGAAGCTGTACTCAGGATTCTGCTTACTGATGGTGATGAGGATGGCATTATAAATGCTTATATCAACTCCACGTTGTGTGTGTACTTTTCCTCAGTACACAACGACATACACTTACAGAGGTTACTCGAAGTTGTCAGGTTTAGAGTGGAGATGCCAGGAATTGTCTGAGAGAGAAAGCTATCGCTTCATTGGAATGACTGCACACTGACGTTTACTGCTCTTATCTGTAACAAAGATGTAATAGTGGAACATCAGGACGCCTTACATTAAAAAAAAAATTGTAATGAATAACAGGACCAGACCACATTCACTTTCCTTTAAGCAATAAAAAATATTAAAATAATGGGTTGCTACTCCTAACACAGTGAAAAAGAAACATTTTTGTTTTCTCAGCCTAGACAAATAAGTTATTCCATCTACACATTTTTGCTTTTCATCTCATCTTCCGATTTAAAAGTACAGCTAACAAGGAATAGGACACGTTAGACACTAAATAACGTTAAATTCACAAAACTATGGGTATTCCATTGTCTTTGGGATCTCGAGGTTTATTTATTTTATCATTTTAAGATAAATGATATGACATTAGCAATGACGCCCAGACACCTAATCGTTGGAAACGGAACTCAAATTTAGAGTCTAAAAAAACCTGGAAAGGGGACCAAATTTGGAGCAACTCCTTCACAGTGCGCGTGCGTCTCAGGCCTAGAGGGTTTCCGGGTAGCCAGCCAATCATATTCCCAATGCAAACTCTGTGGTGGTATATTCAACTGGATAAACCTGGCTGCAGCCCGCCCTCTCGTTCCACGGTTTTGTCCGGAGGAAACCGATGGGGGTCGGAACCTTGGCAGTTGAGCTGCTGCAGCTACTGGTTTCTGAGTGAAGCCTTCGGTAGTTGTCGGCCTAATGAGCGGACGGCAAAGAACACTTTTCCAGACGTGGGGCTCAAGCGTCTCCCGATCCTCTGGAACTTCTGGTTGCAGCTCAGGAACTGAGCGACCTCAGAGACCTGGAGGCTCCAAGGCGCGTTTGCCAGCAACGGCGGAGGCTCAGCCGGAGTCGGACGATGATGTGTTACTGGTCGCGGTGTACGAGGCTGAGAGGCAGCTAAGTCTAGAGAATGGCGGGTTCTGCACCTCAGCTGGAGCCCTGTGGATTTACCCTACCAATTGCCCAGTGCGGGACTACCAGCTGCACATTTCCCGGACCGCTCTGTTCTGCAACACGCTGGTGTGTCTGCCTACGGGGCTGGGAAAGACCTTTATTGCTGCCGTGGTCATGTACAATTTCTACCGCTGGTTTCCTTCAGGCAAGGTGGTCTTTATGGCTCCCACGAAACCCTTGGTGACACAGCAGATCGAAGCTTGCTACCAGGTGATGGGTATCCCACAGTTCCACATGGCCGAAATGACAGGTATTTTAGAAAGAATGGGGTAATATGAAATTAAGAGCTGGGTACCCAGGGGAAAGCAACATTCTGGTGGAAATAGAGCTAAACTCCTGATCCATGCGGAATAGTTCCCAAACCACAATATGCGCATCTTATATCCCCTCCCTTAAAACATCATCTACTTATAGCAAGTCCCGACAGTGATGAATAGGGTTGCTTTATTCAATCTTCAGAGAATCCTTGTAGCTTGTCAGAGTATTTTGAAACTATTATGTGTGTATACCC